TTTAAAATGCATTAATTGCTTTAGGCACCTAAAAGTAATTTCTGTTTCCACTATTTTTTAACTATTACCTGCAGTGCTGAAGAGTTTTCCTTTCCTAAGCAAAAAAGAACCCATAACTGATGCTAAAACACGTACTTCCTTGCCTTACTGAAAACTAGCAGGTTCCAAGCACTGCCCATGAACTAACTGAGTCTGTAAGTGACTGCTGTCAGATCCCCAAATGCAAATTCATTGCCACCTGTGAAGGGCAAATCGCACTCAAAGGAGGAAGCCATTTTCCAAGGTCTGGACCAAAGCATCAGTAGGCAAGAATCCAAAGTTAGTTAGACGTAATGATGGTGTTACCTGCCTTAGCGTGCATGGCATTAACACGAGGGTATGACATCTAGGTTAAGACGCACTGGAAATGCTGGACTAGATCAGACTCTCAGACTATTGAGCTTTGCTTTTTGTCCCAAAAGGCAAAGAGAGCAGGCTGCATTATTTCAGTCAAAAACCACTGAGCTGAAAAGTGGCTTTTTTTTCTGAAGTATATGCAGAAAGATACGTCTTTCTGACACCAAAAGCGTATGAATAAATATTTGGTTTTTCTCAAGAAAAAATGCTACTCTCCTTACTAGGAAAGCATATTTTGGAAGCATTTCTCCACCTTGGACTTAAGACGTCCCACCTCACAGCTCTGCTTTGGTTGAAAAAGGCACAAATCCTGCTTCCTTGGCTTTGGGCCTAGATCCACAGTAGGCAAACAATAGCCGTTTCCCTCTGACATTCACAGGCATAGCTGTCTCAATCGAGCAAACTCACGAGTCATAGGCAAAGCCAGACCTGCAGTAAATGAGGATTACTCGCTCAAGGAAGGTGTAACCAGCAGAGGAACGATAGGTATGTACAGCTTTGTTCACAAAATGAGAAGGAAGCAAGGTTTCCTTATTAAAGGCTGTCTGACCCTTCTGTCCACTGATCTCTCCCCTATGAACAGACTCCAACCCTGACACCAGCAAGCGGCCCTCGCTCCTCGAGCATGCTCATTCGCTGCATTCAGCTGTCACCAAGAACGCGAAGCCATCGCCTCCTATCAAAGATAACGCCTCAAGAGCCACCTGATTGCAGGATTGTTCACTGAAGGAAGACATAGCGTTAGCGCATCGAGAACACCTCTTCAAAAAGAGACACGCATTTGTCCCCGTTAACAACCTTGCTTTCGGATATGTTTGCTCGGGTAGTTTACCGAAGTATCTGTAGCGCTAAGAGGTGAGGTAAGCATAGTGATATAAAAAACGCCCAAAGCTATTTCAAGAACTCAAAACTTTATACCAGTTACTGGAAAGGGCATGGAACAACTCAGAAGTGGATTTAGGCAAACCACTGCACAACATCTACTTGCAGCCACTGCCAGTGCAAACACCTTTACAGATGTCTGTGTATACCTGGATTTATCAAGGAAAAGGAAACATCTTAAACTCTTAATTTTGCCTCCCCACAAAGAGCAGAACTAGCCTTCCTATAATATACTGCTCTGAGGGGAAAAAGGGGCATACTGGGAGGAGGGCATGAGGAGGCAAGCAAAGTACACAAGCAGACAGGAAGCTACTCTGGTCAGAGACAGCTGCAAAATACTCAAAAGGTTCACAAATACACAATAGAGAAAAACACTGTGAGGAACTATTGTTTTGCCCACAAATGCAATAATCATGGAGAACAAAACCTTTGGGAAAGAGGAAAGAATTGTGCAAACAGACACGACCCCCACATTACCAGAATTTCTGGATACTTATCTGGATAGCAAAAATACGTTGCAAAATCAGCCGTGTGTGCAAGAATATCTGGCTACTCTTCCCACTCTCAGCTAAGGCAGCTACAAGTGACAAGAACACAGAAGCTCTCCTGCCTCTGGAAGGTCAGGAAAAACCTAGAGGCATAACTTACTAATAAGATGTAAGGGACAAGAAACCCAAGCATGTTTAGGGGAACTAAGGGAACTGAATGGTAAGGGGAGCAGGTTAAAAGCCAGATGATGTGTGTGTGTGTATATATCTATATCTATCTATATATCTCCTGAAAAGCAGACCTGACTGTGCAGGATCGACAATAAAAATTACCTTTGGCCTTGCCCTGCAGCAGATCAGATTTGCTTGTTACACCAGTGTAGCACCCTTGGACAGCAAGAGGCTTCTAGACATATAGTTTGACCCGTCAATTGTGTGTTTTGTTTTTTTAGCAACCAACCCACTGGACAGCATAAGTCTTGATGGTGATTGCGTACCAAATTTACATTAGGAAGCTGGTAGCAAGCTGCTATTAGGCAGGGCCATAGCTCAAGTCAAAAAAACAAAACACAAACCAAAAATCATTACGGTTTGCTAGCCACCACTACAGCAATGCTGGGTATGACTGACCCATTGCAAAAGTCATCTCTACAAGGGAGCTGATAGCTGCCCTACCTCTCAGAAAATCTGCCTGTAACCCAAATACTTTGAGAGAAACATGTTTTCTATGAAGCCTGTCCTCCACTGTTCCCAAACCTTCAGCTAAGGAGACTCAGTAATGCTTTTCCTTCCCGATTATTGATACGAGTTCAAGTCCAAGCCAGGACAATGGCAGCTGACAGTCAAGTATTTGAGTCCAACCTCCTAGCAGTAGCTCAGGTGGACCTCTGCACTTCCTCAGTGCTTATTTTCGCAAAATATCCTCCAGTCCACCCAGTAACCAGAGTGTGAAAGACACACAACAGAATTTACAAGTTAGTTACACCAGTAGCTTCACTCATGCCAGGCTCTCAAGCTAGAGAGGGCTCAGTTTTCTCTGCTCACATTAGTTTAGCCTATCCCATAGAAAACCTGATATTTACTCCAAACAAAGACTGGAGGTAGAAGTGTTTCTGGAAGAAGAGTTGCAAGGCTTTTAAAAAGGAGTTGTAATCCATCCACAGCCTCACCAGGCTCTGGCTCAGTTACCAATGAGACTGAGCTTGTTTATGCCAAAGCAAAAAGCTTGGGCTGACTTACAGAAACAGCTTTTCTCGCCAGAGCTTTAATAGCATATGTCTGTGGAAAAGCCGCTTGGAGAAGTCCTGTTTACTTTGGTAATGAAGCAAGTTCCCTGGAATGAAGTCTTGCAATCTTCCGAAGAGATGTTGCAATACGTTAACCTGTACCTCAGCTGCATACCATACAGGCCACTCTCAGAGACTGAGAACTACTCACTTGAGTCAGGAGGCCAAGGCAAACCCATCTCAACTACTATGAGAGCTCCGCTCCTACGCTGCATGCACAACTTGGGTCTAAACTGAAAGTGGTTATTCTCTTCACTGTCACCCTCACCCTCTCCTCTCTGGTTCAACCTAAGCCAGGGCTAGCAATACCTCTTGCAGTTGGTTTTGAGTTAAAAGCCTCAACAGAAGATTCTCACCTCTCACATATCCTTCAGAACTGTGGCTTTAAAGCCAAATTCACTCCCTTGACACTGATTTTTTAGGTAAATCTGAACTTAAACCCTGGCTCACTGCTGCAAGTGCTCAGTGGGAACACCAGCATACAGTTGGACTAATACCTGCCTGGGGAGGAAAAGAAATTCAAGGCAGACTATGCAGGCCAAGGCTCCCTTTCTGTTTAGGGAGTCAGTGGCCTAAGGCTATTCTGCTTTTCCTCATTTATTTAGGACGGAGTTTGAAGCCGCTGTCCAAATTCCATCTGACCACACAAAGATGAAAGGCTCTCCTCTCTTCAATACTCCCAGCTCATGCATCCAGTGCAAAGGGCTACTCATTCGCTCAAACTTCAGTTTGAGATTTCGCTTCTAACGAGATGGCTCAAAGCCCCTCCATGGTCCAGTAACTAAAACATGCCTTTGCAGTAAAATTCAATTGACTTCCTACTGAAACACCTACTTGCATTTGCACATTTTGTTTACAAACAACTTGCACTCTTGTGAGAGCACAGAGCTCATACTTCACACACGGCAGCAGCTCTTCACAGCCCTTGAAATTGCTGCTTTGAGGAAAAACCAAGCTCTAATTTCAAGTGTTTACATGTACTCCTGAGAGCAAGAAAAAACCTTACCATGATTAGGTTATGTAAAAAGTTTAATTATAAAATAAATAACTTTGTTATGGAAACATTAAATATTAAATACAGTAATAAATATTTACACATTTACAGATATGACTTGACAATTAATGGTGTTTCCCTGCTACCAGAAGACTTCTGCTCTGTTTATACAGAACACATTCCCTCTTCCATGAAGAAACTGAACTCAAATAATACTCTGTGCTCAAGACAGTTCAAGAAACCAAGGACACTGGGGTCAGAAAAATTTGAGGTAAGTTGAGTTCTTCACACCACGAGGCAGAGCACAAGGGACTACTGCTTGCAGAGAGTCAGCACATGAGTTTACTTCTTCAAAGGAACAGGTTCTTGTTCAAATTCAATTGACGGGATCTGACTCGAAGCATCTTCTACTTTAAAAGCCACTTAAACCAGCATCGAGTATGTGCTTAACAGAAGTAGCTTTGTGTTCAGAAAACAGATGGGTCCAGGCTTATCAGCTTGTTTGAACACAGATTTTTTCCTTCAGATCTTGCATTTACTGTCTCAGCATCCTGAGGAGACTAATTTTAACTCAGGCTAGCGCACACGCAAATGGATAGCTCTACTCACATAACGAGTCCTACTGAATTCAGAGGGATTACTTTCCACACATACAGTAACAGAACCCAGGTGTGGCTGACACAGATCTGTCACCAACGCCCTGCAAGTCAGAACTCGAGATGAAGTTCTTTGAAGCTGATATCAACAGGGAGCACAGTGACAGCAGCATTAGCTTTTTCATCCACTGAGGTCTAGGGCGAGAAGCCATCCAGAGCTCTTCCCTTTTTCACTTTCGGCAAGGGAAGGGAATTCTCTCCCCTCATCCATTCCTGAAAGCCACAACAAGCTCTCTCCCTTAGGGTTAGAGCAGCCAAAGGAGACTTGCTAATGGAAGAAAGGCCATCCACACAACAGCGGAGACTGGAGCTCCAACACTGACAAAGGGGGCTCAGTAGCAGTAGTCTCTAGCAGGTCTTGATAGCAGGTCCTCTACCCCATAGTGGCAGCTCCTTCCACATCCTTGTGCCAAGGCGTAGCGGTAACTGTCCTCCCCAGCAAGCGATTCAGCAGCAAGTGGCATGTTGACATCTCGCAGCAGCCTCTGTCTCGATGAATCAGGGCTTAGTGGCAACAGCTCCAGCCCACAGTGTCCAGGGGGATATGTCAGGTAGCCAGAGGTACCCTGCAGCTTGGCAGTGGCCACATCAGAACTGTTCTGTAAGGGGCAGACCAGGCACATTAATCACCACTCAAGACATAAGCCCTCTGTGCTAGAACATCAAACCTACAGCTGAAGCTGGTAGGTTAAGTACATGCACACACCTGAGGACACTCTGCTAGATGCTCTTCAGCTTCAAATCAGCTTTGAGCACAACATAGCCATTGTCCCTGGACAAAGCTTGGGCAAGAACTTCTCAATACTATCCTTCATAGTTTCCTCTTTCAGCTTGTAGCAGAACTCCTGTTCAATAAGGATCCTTCAGTCTGTCGTTAGTCTCTTCTGAGCAAAACTGTTCTTAACTCGCTTCCTCTTTAAAATGCACTAGATGACCCCCCCGAAGTGATCCACCTAGGCCAAGGAGCTTTAGCACTCAGCTGCCATGACAGTATCCAGCTTGACTGGGAGGCTATCTACAGTGCTCACAGAACCTGCAGCTTTGCCATAGCCTACAGCCTCTAAGCACCAGTAACTTCCTGATGCCTTGCAGAGAAGGTAGGAAAAAGCACAGTACCTCTCTTACGAGGGGCGATGATCCACTTGGCGGCTGCACCACCTTCCGTGATGGAAGCATACCATGGTTTCTTGCACTAAACCTGCCTCTGCCCAGATATCAGGGGTCCTTCTTTTCCTTCTAAGTCCACTAATCACAGTACAACTTCCTAGCCTCACGCTTCCTTCAAGACAGCAAACAGAAAGCTAACATCGCTGTTGAAGAACTCACGCAGCTCTGGTGGTTTTGGGAAACCACAGAACTGAGGCAGTCGTTCACGTGTAACCTATGTGTTTCAAGGCCCTGTGAAACAAACACTAGCTTTGCAAGACACACATGCAATTCTCATATGGTAACTCCAGCCTGGAAAGAAAGGCATTTCAAGTCAGGTTTCATACCTGCTGTCTCCTCATTTACACACCAACGTGGCCATTTCTGTTCTCTTGTCGAAGTTTTTTCCTTTCTTCTTTCTCTTCATACTGAGGACACTTTTTCCTGACCCTGTGGAATTACGGCATGTTAGAGGTAATTTTGAACCCTGACGTACATCCTGTTGTTACCAGCCCCCACATCCTTTGCAGAATTTAGACTCATGTCCTTTGAATCCTCAGGCAACTCCTCAGCACCAGGAAGCTTCAGGCAAAACAGTTTTTAAACATTCGGCATCAAGCAGTATCTGATAACATCAAGCAGCCCCGGAGTTACACGCTGGCAGTTTTGCCTCACAGCACCAGGGCTTCCAGGCTTAGGCCCGAACAGGTAGGAAGACAAAGAGGGTTTAGTGCTGAATCGAGCAAAGCACGAGGACCTTTCTGGGGGACAGATTTCATGGTGGCTTTAGCTAACAGGTGCAGAGATCAAACTGCTTTCCTCCTCCCCACAGCAGAACCCTGTGGACCTCAAGTATTCGAAGTGCCTGTCCCCTTGATGTGTCCCTTAAAGACATGGTAAGCAAGCTGCTTATGGATTTTTCTCATTGTTCCTCCAGTCTTCTCTAGTAACTGTTCCAAACAGACCACCTAGCTTCTCTGGATCAAGGTACAGATTAATGAATCTCATCGTGGCAAAGCTGGGACAGTTCAGAGCATGACACAAACATAATCCTATTCCATAGCTCGCTCCAGAAAGTAGCGATGATCATTTGCTCTTACGCCACTACAGAACTGGCCATCTCTCCTAGCAGGAAGGAACGAGGCAGCGTTCAGAGAACAAGCGTTCCTCCCAGCATCCCTCAAGTTTAGATCTAAATGCAAAGCAACAGTCAAATGACAAACAAACACTTTGGTTCCTGAACTGCAGGGAAGGGTACAGCACGTACCCAATTCAGTTGGTGTACTTCAGCAAGATGTAAAATTAGACTCAGCTTCTGAGTTTCAGCTACAGTATCCCAAGCCCTGCTGTGTTGGAGCTGCAGTGTCAGAACGGGAGGACTGCTGCAATACTCCAAAAACACTGGAATCGGGCTCCCCATGCTGACTACCGAACCTCAGCACAAACTCTTGGCAAACACAGCAGCAAGACGCCAAGGCAGAGACGGACGTAAGCTGCCGTGTACTGCTTGTTAGCAGGTACAAAGGAGAGTTTGATGTAAGGCCTCGAACACGCACCCAGAGAAGCGCTTTTCATTTATTCACAACAGGACCCCAGATTCTGATTAGGCACCACACTGAACTGTCAGCAGTTAGTTAGGCTGGATGATTGTTCCCGCCACATTAACAGTAAGCGGTACAGTATTTGGGACTGACAGCCCTTGTTCCCCCATTCGCTTCCCCCATAGTGTAATTATTTGAGCCCAGCAACCTCCATGAGTAAATGGAGAGCTGGAGCACCATCTCCTCCCCTCCAGCTGCAGACACACTTATTGGCTAGTAGCCAAGCATGAGGCTGTTACACGACTGCTTGCAGAGTTCTCCACAGGGATTAGGGAAGGCACTGCTGTGTCAGCATTAATGCTCCTCCTCCACTTGGAGGTGATCTTCTGCAGCACTGTAATGACCCCAGCTGCAGCAAGAGCACAAAGGCTCTTTTTTTAAGATATAAGGGTGATGGGCTGCCCACAGCCAATAGCGAGAGAGGGTAAGTAAACACTTCAACACCTCTCAGACCTTTGACCTTCAAGATGTATCCAAGCCAGGGTAAGAACACAGGCCTTTTGGGGTTCTGTTCCAAGCCACACAGTTAATTCAGGAGAGCCATGCCCATTTTGGGGCTACTGAGCACAAGCCCCTCTCACCCTTAAGCTAGACAGACAGCAGGGTATAATACTTACTGCACTATCACAATGATAAGTACAGTAATGAAGCTGATGCTTGACAGCAGGACAGCTACCACTACCAAGACAGTCTTCGAGTAGTCTGCCACATCATTCTTCCTTTGAGTCTTCATGAACTGCTCACCACAGCGCTCACCAAAAAAATCCTGATGACACCTGCAAGTAAACATTAACACAAGTTCTTATCAGCTCCAGTGCTGTCTGGAGCCAAGGACACCCACACACATTCAAACCTGACTTAGACATCTTCAGCGTTTCCCATGAATCTCAAGATGCTCCCTTTAGAGCGAGTTCATGAAATGCAGTCACTGCTCTAGCCCAAGGTTTGTCAGCATTTCAACAAGTCGAGATCAGTTTGGGCGTGATGTTCCAGGAAGACACGCCTTTTCATTCTTTTGGTTTGAGTTTATGACCAACTGATGAGTTCAGTGGCTTGTTATGCATCTCAGATTCCATCATCGCTTAATTTACATGGCAGAAAGATTCTCAGTCAAAATATGGCAGGAGATGGACCGATGCCAAGCTGACACCGATTTTTCCTCTGAGCCCTCATATGCCACCAGCTCATGCCAATCAGAACTAACTCACAAGGTACCAGTGACTTACTTGCAGGTCACCATCTGGAGATGTTCTAGGTATATGCATTCACCATGGATGCAAAAATTTTTGTATTCCATTTCACAGGGAGTCCCTTTCTTTTTGTTTTTCCCTTTATTTTTCTTCCTTCTTGATTTGCCGGCGTTCTTCTCACCACCCCTCTTGGTTGGCTTGGGTTTAACCACAGGTTCAACTGAAAAAAGGACAAGATGAATCAGGCTAGCAGTGCTAAAAAGCCAGATTCTGTGTCAACTGAATTACAGAATCTGGTGAGGGGTAGGGGGACGGTCACTGCAGGAGAGTCCATGACCAAGAAGCATCGGATGCAAGTGCACAAGCAGTTGAGCATTTCATGCCCAGCACAAAGGCAAAATTAAGCGCAACTCTGCCAGCATTAAGTCCTGTGCAAAGCCAAGCAAAAGCAGAATGAACAGTTGAGCTGAGCGAGCTGCCAGAGATGAAGAGCAGAGTCGAAGTACTGTAGCATTTCACAGCATAAGACACTCGAATGAAACCACAGAAGTTCAAGCAAAGACCTGTAAAGAACATGGAGTTCACACTGAGCCAAGCCATCCACTAGTTCCCTAGCGACTCAGATACAAGGCTCACAGCCTCCATCGCTCTAAACTCTATTTGCATCCGTGATGAAAGGCATTACAACTCACTAGATAGTCCTGGGCACTTGCAGAGGCAGGACAGCTTGCTATCCCAGTTCGCATACTTGTTTCTCCCAAATAACCTGCAGTGCTGTCTTCAGCAGAAGATAGCTCCTTTCCAGTTCTCCTACTTTGAGAGAGACGCCAAATGTACCGATGGAGTGAAAGCAGGATAGTCCGCAAGAGTCAGGTTATTTGCTCCACCACTTACTGTTGCCCTTCATTATCTCAATTAAAACAAACCTCTAGAAGAGTGTGGTTTATAAGGTTGGTGACTTAGTAGCCTTTGGATTTAAGCAGGGGCAATCATTTTCCTTTCGCTGTGGAGAACAAGGTAAAACTAGTGACTGACTGGGGGGTCGTAAGGTTTGTAGCTGCTCTGTGCAGCAGTTAAAGCTTGACAGCGTTGTTTTAAAGCCACTTGGTAAAGCCTTGGTTCTCTGAAGAAACCATCCCTTTACCACTCACCATAAAGCAAGTCATCTCAGTGCAACACTCTGCTAGTCCAGAGCAAGAGTTACCCAGGTGACTTTGATCAGGTCTTAACAACAGTACAGCTATTTACAATATTCTTCAATTTCTCTATTGTGCTCTGCAGGCCTAATGAAAATAAGTTTGGGAGTATTAATATTTTACCAAGAGCACTATGCATATAGGCAATCACCACAACAGGACGCATCTTGATCCAACTACTTCATAACCCTGTATTTCTAGTGACAAGCAGAGAGCCTGCACAAAGAAACAAGGTGTAGTTCCCTGTTGTCTAGACAGCTGATCATTTTAACTTCTAGAGCAACAAGCCTGGCTTGAAGTTACTTAAAAGCAAAAATGCCTTCAGCAATCAGAAGTCTGATTCAAATAGTATAAGCTACATAAATATGTAAACGAGGAACACTGTTCCTGCAGCAAGGCTTCCTATTCCTAGAAGCGTGAGCTTAACTACTGACAGCTGAGGCCCCTGTTCTGTGCAGCTAGACTTGATATTTAGGATCACACTTTCGTAATTGAGGTTGTTTCCATTCTTACCTCTTCAAGGCTCAGCTTGTCGGTTTGATCTCTGGGTCCCTGTCTGCAAGCCGCATAGCTAGGAAAACCATCCGCAGCTGAATCATTACAGCTTGAAGGCTCCACAGATAAACCTCATGCCAAGTAGAAGAGCTGGTCTACAAACCAACCACCTTTCCTAACAATTCTGGTTTCTGTGCAGTTATACAACACTTAAGTCACCACGCCAGTAGTTTTACAGGACAAACTGCTCCGTAGCTCTGACATGCCTGCTTCCCCTGGAGATGTTAAACTCAGGAAAAACTTCAGCAAGGGTCCACAAATTCCCCAGACTGAGCATCTGGAGCATCGTCCCTCTTAACCTAAGTCATCCTTTAGCCTCGCTCAAGTCTCAGGGTGTTTCCACAGAAAAACACAGCACCCTGATCAACCCTAGTGGGCAAGAGCACCAGCCTACTACCATGTACTGAGGTACAAATCACTTGCAGGTATCTGGCTTGTATTACAACTGCACTTACACCAGAACCAAGAAAATCTTCCCATCCTCATAGTCAAATGGGCTACTCAGACCTCCTTACAGCTTACAAGCTCACAAACTACAACAAACTCACACAGTAGCTATCAACAGTGAAGTATTTCCTGAAAGATTCTTAACCAACTTTCCTCCAGCCACTTAAAGGGTGTAAGAGCTTCCTTTCCCAGAAAATTTTAGTCAACTCCAAGTCAAATAAGCCATCGTGACAAAACACCCAGAAAATCCTTGAAGCAAGAAAGACAACCTGATGTAAACGCCACCTTCAGGACCAAGCAGCACCCACAATCCCCACTGAGGCTTCCATGGCGAGTACGTGCTGGCTGCCCCATCAGAGCTCTCCTGTCAGGTTTATCAGAGGGGAGCAGTACAGCAGCCAACCAGCCAAGCTGCAGCTTCCACGCACCTCAGCACACTCCGGCTAAGTTTCCATCCCTGAGAGCTTTTTTTAATGCACCAATTTCAAGCAGAAGCAGCTTTTGCTCCATACTCCGCGAGCTAACTACGGCAGCCTTATGAGAGAGGCAAGTCAGCAAGAATGCAGTACTCGCACCTAGAGCGCCCTCAGGCCCGGCTCTGACGAGCCCACCTCACACCTGCGCCCATCCCACAGCAGGCTGCCAGCTCACCTCGGATCAAGTCGTCCACGATGTACTGGTGGACGGGCAGCGCCTCCTCGTACTCCTCATCCTCCTCGTAGTCGGGACCCGACACGGCCTCGCCCT